CTAGCGGGGACGGGACGAGAAAGAGGCGATGAGCTTCCACCACCACAAACGACGAATCTGATGAACTCACGCGGACAAAAAAATACAAGCAAAAATTTGACCAAACATCGGAACTATTATCTCTTTTCTTTCGAAATGTATTCTGCAGTACGTCTTTGAAAATTTTCTGCTCAAACTCTCTCTGTATTTTTCACTCCGAAAAATCTCACAAAAAATTCCCCCCTTCTTCTACAATGAATAAAAGCCATTATATAGAAGGAAACTAAGGTTAAGAAATAGGGAAAACGATCAAAAATCTTTGACAAGATGGGGCCTATTTTGAAATTCAAACTCCTAATTTCTTTCACCAAATCGGCCAAACATCCTTTTGTCAGAAGTTTCATCCCATTCCGGAAGAGGATATGGGACAGACGCGTGCTTCCCTTTGTTGTTGCGGTTTGTACCAACTGAAAGGGACGTGAGGCAGATGTCATTGACGCTTTTGGACTGCCGATTCCGGGTCAATTTGCTGGACTGGATTGCAATTTGGGTCTCGTTCTGCTGGGTCGGTGCTGCTACTGGGCTGCTGCTCACGATTTTTAGCTCATACTGCTGGGTTTCGCGAAGAAGAAAAATGATGCAGGGGTGGGGTCGTTCGGGTACTGTTTGCTATTGTTGGCTGGATTGTTGTGATGAATTGTTGGTGGGGTCTTTTTGGATTTGGAATTGGTAGTGGTTTGGGCCATTTAAGAAAGAATTTGGCTGAAGGAATATTGAATTGGATCTGCTGGTGGGTTGTGGGGCTAATGAATTGGTGGGCTGAAAAATTATTTGGTATTGTTGGTATATAATACTGGAAAATGGAGGAGAAGATAGGCCCAAATAATTGGTTTTTTCTCTTAAAATCAATAGGCTAGTGTTAAATTTGAGCTTTGGCAATAGGGATTTATGTTATAGCCAAATGGGAATTAAAAATGTAGTCAAACTAAATTAATTAGGATAAGTTCGGCTAGTAATTCAAATAAGACGAATTGATATAATTAACTAAGGAGCTTCTTAATTTTAACGGAACAAAATAATTAGCTAAATAAAACTAAAGACCCAAAATATAAAATAGCAATTTAGACAAAATTAAGTTAATAAAGTTTTTTAAGTAAAAACTAAAATCTTTTTGAAACGATTTTTGAAATGTTTATAAAATATACTAATTATATACAAAATTATACAAAATATATATATATATATATATATATTATTTAAAATTTATAAAATTAATTAAAGTAACTTGAAAAATACTTGATCTTTATAAAAACTAATTATTTCAAGTCGCCTGGAATTTAGGAAGCTCAAAGATCAATTAATATCGGGGAGGGTCAAATTTGGGTGTCAACAACTGTCCCTCATTTGATTTGGATTGGTGAAAGAAATTCGAGGAAAATGAAATTGACGAATCCAATTTTGACCGACCACATCTTCATCTTTTATGAAAAAGGGATTTTGGTACGGACTTTGGGAATTATGGCTGAACCCTGGAAATGGGTCTCCTACATATCTCAGGCTATATGAGAGTTCAGGCCATTTGTAGTTCGATAGGCTCGATTTGACGCATGATTTTGAAAGAATTCAAAAGCCATCTTGACACTGAATTATGGAGGGACCGGAATGCTCGAGAATAAGATTTAAGAATCAATGATGGAATACAACCGAGTTTCAACACTGATGCTGCCTACATATCCCTCAAGTTAGGGAATCAGGCTGCTTGTAGTTCGACTCAATCGATTGAAAAGGAAATCTATTATGCAGGATAACCTTCAGTTCTGGAAAAGTGACAAAGTAAGTCGAGTTATGAAAAAGAGGCTTGCAACTTCTTAGCCATGAATGTTGTGCACTTCACACCCATAATTAAAACTTACACGGACATAATTTCCAAAGCTCTTGGTGCATTGTCACTTAGACTGGAAAGCTGCTTCCGGTAGATACCAAATTTTTTGGATCTGAAACTGAAATCAACAAATCCAAAGATAACCCACATGCCTTCTGATAGGGGTGTGGTTTGATTGTGGTGGAAGTCGCTCCTCTGCTCGCGTCCTAAGAGTTTGACACTCCTCTTTGGACTATGTCCCAGTTCGCTGCTAAGAAAATGTTCCATGTTGTGCTGCATCCTTTTTGATGTCGTCCGCACCTGTGGTTTGCTTTGAGAATTCATCCTTTCGGATGCTCTCGACAAAGACTGAGATAAAACTCATTAACATAAAAGATGCGACTCAAATGGGAGACAATGTCTTTTACCGTGTTGACACTTAATTGCTCTCCTTGAACATCTGAAGTCAACTCTATTGGGTTTGACATAAAGCAAATAAAGTTTATGTCTCATATTTGTGATATAATCTTCAATGTACTCTTCTTTTGTCGTCAAAGTAACAAAATAGGCTGATGTAATATGTTGATAATTCTCTTGATGTCGTTGTTGCAAAGAAAAATGATGCAGTCGATGTTGATCTTCTTGTAATGGGTAAATCTTTCTGCTGTGATGCATAACTCTTTTCTCCTGCGATGCATGACTCTTTTCCGCGATGCATGACTTCTTTTTCGCGATGCACGAATCCTTCTCTTGTTATGCATGAATCGCTTTCCCGTGATGCATGACCTTTTCTCTTGCTATGGATGGCTCTTTTTCTTGCTATGCATATATCTCTTTCTCGCGATGCATGGTTTCTTTTTCGCGATGCATGAATTCTTCTCTTGTAATGCATGAATCTTTTCTCGCGATGCATGAACTCCTTCTTCCGCGATGCATGAATCTTTTTCCCGCGATGCATGAATCTTCTCCTGCAATGCATGAATCACTTCCCGCGATGCATGAATCTTCTCTTGCAATGCATGAATCTCTTCCCACGATGCATGAATCTTATCTTGCAATGCATGAATTCTTCTATTGCAATGCATGAATATTTTCTCGCGATGCATGAATCCTTCTCTTGTAGTGCATGAATCTTTTCTCGCGATGCATGAAATCCTTCTCCCGCGATGCATGATTCTTTTTCCCGCGATGCATGAATTCCTTCTCCCGCGATGCGTGAATCTTCTCTTACAATGCATGAATCTCTTCTTGCGATGCATGAATTTCTTGCAATGCATGAATTCTTCTCTTGTAATGCATGAATCTTTTCTTGCGATGCATGCCTTTTTCTCTTGATGCCTCCCTGATACCGAACGAAGATAATGCTTCACCAAGCAACATAAGTGATCTTCTGGGTATCTTCTGGGTGGCAGTTTTGTCCTAATCGGCAATACAAATAAAAATGACCCTCAGAGTAGTGGTATCATCTCATTTGACAATATAAATAAAAATGACCCTCGGAGTAGCGGTATCATCTCATTTGACAATACAATATAAATAACTCTCCAAGTAGTGGTATTATCTCAGTCGACAATACAGTATAAATAACCTTCAAGGTAAGAATATCATCATATCTGATAATATGATGCAGATAATGTCCTCCAAGTTTCTTTAGTTGCTGGAAAACAAATAAAATTTCTTTCTTCGAGGTTTTCATTTGTTCCAGCCCTGAACATATTTGCATATTCATTATGGACCTCGCCTTGTTGGGAATTGAATGAAATACTGTTATTCATATTTCAACATTTTTAATATAAGCAGCATAAATCATTTCCTGCATTCACAGAAAAAATTGTCAATTTTGGGGAGCTCTTCGCCCTTTTAACTTCTCCGTATTCATTGAATGAAATAATATGCTGATTTTGAGGCAACCTATAGACCTGCATCCATAGAAAAATTGTCAGTTTAAAAAATGAACTGATCTGTGTTGATCTCTTCGGTGGTCTGCTCCTTGTCTTGCTATCTCCGGTTGATTTTTCTGATCTCCCGCTTCTTGATAGATAAGACAAAACATTTTTATGCCAAAATAATAAAAACATGAAAGAAAAGTTTTTTAAGGAAAATAGATTTTCAAAAGTGATGTTTGAAAAAGGTCACTGCCAAGTGTCATGTCACGTCGAGTTTAATGAACGCCATTGGAGTTGATGTTTCGAGATCTATCTAATTACTTGTTGGGAAGTATTCAAAGTTGCTCTGAACTGCCGATAAACCCTGTGGAAATTTTGAGGCCAACCTCAAAATTTCTGTCCCAGTTAATTGTCTTGACTTATCTTTAACCGTTGGTGAGCAAATCACCGAATTTTTAAGACCCTCTCAAAATTTTGTCACAGTTGCAGTTATCAACGCATTCTCAGTCTTGACTTGTTGAAGAAATCCTCTTTTCGAGATTTTTTGAGTCCCTCTCAAAAATTCTATCCCAATTTCTATTGTAAAGAAAAATAAAAATCTTTCGGGAGATATGATCGAGCCCTTGTGGCACCTACGTATCCCGTTGAGGCAGGAATCAGGTCAAACGTAGTTCTCCTTCTCGAGGATTAACAAAAATAATATATTTACAAAGAAACCAACCGAGGCTGACATAGGCCGCCAACGTATCTCATTCTTGAGAATTCAGGTCAGACATAGTTCATTACATAGGGATAGATTCTAAGCAAAGCAAATACAAGCAAATGGAACGATTGCAAGGAAATAACAGAAATACAAACTGAAGCTTCACACGTAGTATCTCTTGACAACATCTGAGTTGATCGATTTCGGCCATTCAGTGTCATCCACCTCCGACAGGACCAGGGCACCTCCAGATAACACTTTGCGAACCATGTAGGGTCCTCGCCAATTTGGTGTAAATTTCCCTTTGTACTCATCTTGATGAGGGAAAATGCGTTTGAGAACTAACTGACCAATTTCAAATATTCTAGCGCTTACTTTCTTGTGGAAAGCACGAATCATTCTCTGCCGATACAGTTGTCCATGACAAACAACAACCATTCTTTCTCATCAATCAATGTTAACTGATCAATCCACTTGCGAACCCATTTAGCATCACTCAATTCAGCTTCTTGGATGATTCTCAATTAAGGTATTTCAACTTCCGCAGGTATAACTGCTTCTGTTCCATATACTAGCAAATATGGAGTAGCTCCAACTTAATATCCGGTGTGGGCGTTAGAGCATTGAGAGGTGTTTTAATAGTCGTTCGGTAACCCAATAAAACATATGGCAACATCTCATGCCAACCTCTGCGATTATCAATCATTTTCCTCAAAATCTTCTTTATGTTCTTGTTGGCGGCTTCTACAACTCGATTCATTTGGGGAATATAGGCGGTTGAGTTTTGGTGAGTAATCTTGAATTGTTCACATATCTCTCTCATCAAGTGACTGTTAAGAGTCGCTCCATTATCAGTAATGATGGATTTTGGTACTCCAAACCTGCAAATCAGGTTGTTGCGAACAAAATCAGCTACAACTTTCTTGGTTACCGACTTGTACGAAGTTGCTTCCACCCACTTGGTGAAGTAGTCAATGGCAACCAAAATGAGTATGTGTCTGTTAGAGGCGACTGGCTCTATTGGACCAATGACATCCACTCCCCAAGCTACAAACGGCCAAGGCAAACTCATAGCATTGAGTTCGTGAGGTGGCACTCGAATCAAATCACTATGTACTTGACATTTATGACATTTCTGCGCAAACTTGCAACAATCATGCTCCATAGTCATCCAAAAATAACCGGCTCAGAGGATCTTCCTCGCCAAAGTGAGTCCATTCATGTGAGTACCACAAACTCCGGCCTGTATTTGTTCCAGAAGCTTTGCAGCTTCACTAGCATCAACGGATCTGGGAAGACCTAAATCTGGAGTCCCCCTATAAAGGATTTCTCCACTTGCAAAGAAATTGAGGACCATACGACATATCGACTTCTTCTGATTGAACGTTGCATTCTCAAGATAAGTCCCGGTCTCTAAATACTTCTTGATATCAAAATACCAAGGCAAACCATATGGTTCCGCTTTAACATGTGAACAATGGACAGGCTGCTCCTTTACCTCTATATCCACTGGATCAATATAACTTGTATCTGGATGCTTAATCATTGATGCGATGGTGGCAAGAGCATCGGCCAACTCATTCTGTGTACTGGGAGTGTGCCTGAACTCAATCTTGCGAAATCTCTTGCACAACTTCCGTATATACTGCACATACGGTGTGATCTTTGGATTTTTCACAGCCCAATCTCCTTGGACCTGATGAATCAACAAATCTGAATCTCCAATAACCAGCAACTCGTGAACATTCATATCAATGGCCATCCTTAGACCTAGGATGCAAGCTGACCAGATTCTGACACTAGGACCGCTCCGATACCTTTCCCTTGGTGATTTGCCGCTCCATCAAAGAATACTCTCCAACCAAGGTAGGCTTCAGAAATATCTTCACCCACAAATGAAACTTTCTCGTTGGGAAAATAAGTATTGAGCGGTTCATACTCCTCATCAACTGGATTCTCCGCAAGATGATCAGCTAAGGCTTGGGCTTTAATCACCTTTTGAGTCACATACACAATGTCAAACTCACTCAAAAGCATTTGCCATTTAGCCAACTTCCCGGTCGGCATTGCTTTCTGGAAAATATACTTCAACGGGTCCATCTTGGAAATAAGGTATGTGGTATAAGAAGACAATTAATGTCTCAACTTTTGAGCGATCCAAGTCAAAGCACAACATGTTCTCTCCAAAAGAGTGTAACGAGCCTCATATGGAGTGAACTTTTTGCTCAACCACGGACCGTAGATGGGGTTTCGTCGTTAAGGCCTAAATATTGATGGTCTCTGATCCCACCCATGGTCGACTAGTACGATCCGTGGTTGGACCGACAGACTGTAGGTGAGGGTCAGCAGCCAATTAGAGGGAATTTGTTATTGGGTCAACTTCAAACGGTCATATCTTTTAGTACATAATGAATTAGGTGGCCCATGAGATATCAAGTTAAAGATAATTGAATTATCTTTCCAACGCCACTGAGTTTGCTAAAATTCCATCTCGGAGTAACATGTTATGCTCGTTTTAGTGAAACCCTGTATGGCAGACCACGAACCACAACCACGGACAACGGTTGGTAGTCCAAACGACGGTACGTAGATCCCTCCGTGGATGGCCTTCGTCGGCTTTTAAGTTAGGGTCATTTATATAGTTTTCCTATGCGTTAAGGACCTTATACTACGTTGTTTAATGCCTAAGCTACGTCATTTTACTGAGTCTAAGCCTAATAACTTAGTCAGACTAGCTAGAACCCTCATTCTCCAAAAATCATCCAAATTTGGAGCAAAGAGAAGAGGAAAAGTCGACCAAACCTCCCAAGAACAAGCAACAATGTTCATAAAAGTTCATCCCTGGAATCAAAAGATTTCTCCGTAGATTTCATCGCCAGGTATCTAGTGGGTTTATTTCATCCACGAGGTCCCTAGAAATCAGTCAGTTCGTTTATTCTCCATATTTTGTTTAAACCTAGGATTTCTAAAACCTTGGATATTTACTGTATTTTAGCTATTGAGGTATCCTAAATCGAAATAGCATGTTTCTTTGAAAGTTTGTTTAGTTCCTTGCATGAAACTCAAAACCCTAGTTGTGTAGATTCTCTAGTTAATGAATTGCACTTGCTAGGTTTGTTAAACATATAATCATGCTCTAGATTTCGAATGATACATGAATGTGTTTTACCATCCTGGTAAGGCGAATATAGTGGTTGATTCTCTTAGCAAACTGTCTATGTGTAGTGTAGCACATGTTGAAGAAGAAAGGAAAGAGCTAGCCAAAGATGTTCATCGGCTTGCTTGTTTAGGAGTTTGCCTTACGGACACATTATATAGTGGGGTGATAGTTCAGAATGGATCAGAATCTTCATTGTTAGCGGAGATTAAGGAAAAACAGGATTGTGATCCTATATTACTTCAATTGAAAGGTGTAATTCGCCGGCAGAAAGTTGAGGTTTTTTCCCAAGGGGGAGATGGTGTACTTCGTTACCAGGGTCTCTTATGCGTTCCTAATATGGGTGAGTTGAGGCAGCAGATCCTTACAGAAGCCCATAACTCCAGGTATTCCATTCATACTGGTGCCACTAAGATGTATCGTGATCTACGGGAAGTCTTTTGGTGGAACAACATGAAGAAGGACATAGCAGATTTTGTGGCTAAGTGTTCTAACTGTCAACCAGTTAAGGTAGACATCAGAAACCAAGAGGTATGACTCAAGAGATTAACATTCCTACATGGAAGTGGGAAATTATAAACATGGACTTCATTACGGGTTTACCTCGTACTTGCAGACAATATGATTCCATTTGGGTGATAGTAGACAAAGTTACTAAGTCCATTCACTTCTTGGCTGTCAAGACTACCGAGCCAGCGGAGGACTATGCCAAACTCTACATCTATGAGATAGTCAGGTTACATGGGATTCCCTTGTCTATCATTTCTGATAGAGACCCTCAGTTTACCTCTTATTTCTAGAAATCGTTTCAGAAAGGTCTTGGTACTCAGGTAAATCTTAGTACAACATTTCATCCACAGACGGATGGTCAGGTAGAACGTAACATTCAGAACTTAGGGGACATGTTGAGATCTTGTGTGATCAATTTCAAGGGTAATTGAGATGATTACCTACCTCTCATAGAGTTCTCATGTAACAATAACTTTCATTCCAGTATTCAGATGGCCTCGTATTAGGCACTATATGGGCATAGATGCAGGTCCCTGATTGGTTGGTTTGAAGTAGGTGAAACAGCCTTGATAGGGACAGATTTGGTTCATAAGGCTATGGAAAAAGTTAGGCTCTTCAAAGATAGACTAAAGACAACCCAAAGTCGTCCTTAGAGTTTGAAATCGAAGATTGGGTTTTCCTGAAGATGTCACCTATGAAGGGGGTGATGAGATTTGGCAAGGAAGGCAAGCTCAGTCCTAGATATGTAGGTCCTTATAAAATCTTTAGAAGGGTTGGTAATGTGGCTTATGGGTTAGAGTTGCCAGCAAAACTAGCAGCGGTTCATTCAGTCTTCCACATTTCCTTGTTGAAGAAGTGTGTGGGTGATCCGGCATCAAAAGTATCATTAGAGAGTGGCTGTGAAGGATAATCTCACTTATGAAGAGATGCCAGTTGAGATTCTTGACCGTCAGGTTCGTAGGTTGAGAAATAAGGAAGTTGCTTCAGTGTAGGTTTTGTGGGGGAGTCAGTCCGTAGAGGGAGCTACTTGGGAAGCAGAAGCATCCGTGAAGGCCAAGTATCTTCACTTCTTTCCTTTTGATTCCGTTTCAGCTTGATGTAATAGTTCCTCTCCAGTCTCTTAGTTTACTCCTGCATAAATTCAGTCTCAGTATCCTATTCTTTTAGTTGTTCTTTAATTTCAGCATATTTGCATGTTCTTGGAACTCAGTTAAGTTAGATATTAGTTTCTAGTACTTAATGGTAGGGATTACAACTCCTTCCCTCCATACTTAGATTGTTTAGATTTTATTCGAGGATGAATGTTCCAAGGGGGAGATAATGTAACACCTCAAAGCTCAAAATAAAGAAAATCTTAATTGTCAAAAAAATGGGTACCAGTACCGACGGAACCACCAACGGACCGTAGGTAGAACCACGGACCGTAGATCGGGTTTCTTCGTTATGGCCCAAATATTGATGATCTCTAATCCCACCCATAGTCTATTAGTACGGTCCGTGGTAGGATCTACGAATCGTAGGTGAGGGTCAGCAACCAATTGGAGGGAATTGGTTGTTGGGTCAACTTCAAATGATCATATATTTTAGAATGAATTAGGTGGCCCATGACTTATCAAATTAAAGATAATTGAATCATCTTTCTAATGCCACCGAGTTTGCTAAAATCCTGTCGCAGAATAAAAATTTATGCTCATTTTAGTGAAGCCCTGTCGGGCAGACCATGAACCAAGACCACTGACGAAGATTGGTAGTCCAAACGACGGTTAGTAGGTCCCTCCGTGGATGGCCTTCGTCAGCTTTTAAGTTAGGGTCATTTAGGTCTTTTTCCTATGCGTTGAGGACCTTATACTACATCATTTTACTCAGTCTAAGCCTAATAACTTAGTTAGACTTACCCAAAACCCTCATTCTCCAAAAATCATCTAAACTTGGAGCAAAAAGAAGAGAAAAAGTCGACCAAACCTTCCAAGAACAAGCAACAGTGTTCTTCAAAGTTCAACCCCAAAATCAAAGAATTTCTTCGTAGATTTCATTACTAGGTATGTGGGATTTCACTAGTGGGTTCCTTTCATCCACTAGGTCCTTAGAAATCAGTCAGTTCTTTGATTCTCCATATCTTGTTTAAACCTAGGGTTTCTAAAACCTTGGATATTTACTGTATTTTAGCTATTGTGGTTTCCTAAATCGAAAGAGCATGTTTCTTGGAAAGTTGGTTTAGTTCCTTGTATGAAACTCAAAACCCTAGTTGTGTAGATTCTCTAGTTCATGAATTACACTTGCTATGTCCGTTAAACAAATAATCATGCTCCAGATTTCAAATGTTACATTATCAATATATAAATGTTGCATTCTCAGATTGTATGTCAGTATTTTGAACTATTCCGTAATTTAGCATTTCAATTACATTTATGTCATATACATATTCAGTTGGGAGTAGACTTAGCAATGAGTTGGACTAGGGTTCAACGTACCTAATAGTCCCAAAACTACATGCCCCC